AAAAAATTATAAATTTTACTCAGAATCTCTGCGTAAAATATGTGCTCTCTACATTTAAAAGAAATATTAAATTGGGCATCTCTTAAACTTCTCTAAAATTTGTTCTTTGTAGTCTTTTGTTGTAATTGTTAAAATAAATGAGATAATGAACAAAAGAACTTTGAGTCTATCCTTCACTCACCCTGTACAACAAATTCGTACTACGTTTATGTACCGCTACCCACTCCATAAACTTGGGAAATAATTAAAATTTCATACCTTTTATTCCGCATTTTTCTTCAATTTCTTCCCAAATATTGTCCCTTCTCAATTGATTATGATAATTGGGATCTCCAATATCATATATCTCTTTATAACTTTGTATAATTAAAATGAACGTTTCATCATCCATGATAAAACAATAATTAAATTACAAGTACTAAACAAACTCAAACGAAACAAAACGGCTCTTGATTAAACGTAACCTAAATGCCAATTAGTAATACATTAATCGTAGAATCCTTCATCCGAAGACACCCGAAATAGATTTCGAAAATGACCGAAAACAGAGATAGTTTCCGCAGACCACCGCGCACTAGGGCACGCGAAGCGCGCCGAAGAGAATTTCCTCGCTTTGGATTCCAGGTCTGCAACGAACGGCGCTTCGGCGCGCGGTGCAAGCGGTTGCTTCGCTTGAGTCAGCGGACGTGCATTATATAACACAAATTTAATCCGTTGCACGGTTTTTCGCCGCGCTTCGCCGCGCCGCGCTGCGCATAAGTGCGCGATATGCTGTGAACAATACGCATTGTAATTTTCATTTAAATGGAAATCGATAACAGAAGGGAGCCAGCACAGTCCAAAGGCCTATTTTCTTTATTACAAATTAAGGCCGGGTACACACAGTCTGCGCAAAATGACGCTCTCAATTTATTTCACAACGGTTACTAAAATTGAAATTAATATTTAACTAATATTAATAATTAATACTATTAATTATAAACACGTCTACAATAAATGTATGGGTACATATAGAAAAAATGTATAAAGATAAAATAAAAAATCGGTAAAAAACTTTTAAGTTAAACGGTTTTATCTTATGTGCACTGAAAACTAGAAAATAATAATAACAATTAGGCAGAATAGCTAAACAACTAGGCAGAATAGCTTTTAGGCATATTAGACTAAAATAAAAACGTGGGGCCCATTAACTATTGCTGTAATACTTTCTTCTATACTAAGTGTGGATTGCATCGACTTACTATAATCGTAACTGGAGATTTTGACAATCAATCAGGTGAAGCCATGGCGGCGTCACCAGCGAACGCCGAGCTCATGATCTACCAAAGTATAAAGATATGCTTTGCCATAGGTAGGATTTCAGAGGGGCCCCACGTTTTTATTTTAGTCTACTATACTAAAATATTCTGCACCTAATTACTAAGATATTTCTGAACTAGAAGTTCAAAATACCTAATTGTTATTATTATTTTCTAGTTTATACACATAAAAGATAAAAACCGTTTATTTCTAATAAAGTTTTTAACGGAAATGCCAACCAATATTCCTCATTCTATTTAATTCATTTAGTGCATCATTATTACATGGTTTTTTTTTACCTGATAATTTATTACAATCTAATTCCTCAATACATAGCCCTTCCAGAGACTTGACTCGACTTAGAGCCACGTATGCTTGCCCTTCCTCAAACAATTTTGAGCCCAAATACACTACTGCATGGTCGACTGTGCTGCCCTGCATTTTATGGACGGTGGATGCCCATGACAAAATTAAGGGTAACATCCTTCTTTCAGCCGTACCATAATTGAATTTTGCTGGAAACTGTATGGCTTTCAGATTGTATAACGTGTATGCCGTCTCTGCCAAAGTCAATCCAAACTGATGGTACATCTGTTTCGTACATTTGGGTTCGACGGAACTGAGGCCAAACAATTTCTGTAATGTGGCCTATAGCACCATTTACCAATCCTTTTGTAACGTCAATGTTGGACCGCAACATTTTCACAAATTCATCACCTATTTTTTTTTTATCTGTCCTTCTAACGTCACACAATCTTGGACACAACTGTTCTGGACACGACTACTCATGCCCTCACCTAATACGCCATTTTGTAACGACGTCCATCTTGGATTTTAAATTTTGTCATAATCACAGTATTCTACTAGTGTAGCCCTTTCATTTGATACCCATATTGAGGGGGTTGTGGAAAAATATGAAATCCGCCATTTTGTACCGGCGGCCATCTTAGATTTACAATGTTATTGTCATCGGAACTAAAGGTGTGTACCAAATTTCAGATCAATCTGACAACAGGAAGGTACTTAAATTTCAATTTCTAATTTTGACCCAAATAAACAAACAAATAAATAAATACCGTATGGGTCGAGCTAAATAAAACCGTTTAAAAACGAGACTCGGTATGTTAGTATTTGACAAATTAGGATTGATTGACGTATTAAATTGTTTTCGGCCACTTCCTGTTTCTCCGTCATTTCGGTCGTCACAACTTTTGATTTTTAAATGGCATCCCCGGTATATTTTTACTTTATTCGATAGAAAATGACACTCATGAGTGGAATGACATATCATATGTCAACTTTTGACACTTTCGTATATGGTTTATTTGAAATTGTAACATGCGGTTCATAACGACAATTTGACACGAAATACCAATAAATAAATAAATAAATAAATAAATAAATAAATGCCTTTATTGTCAAAAAATTTTTCAATTTGTGGACAAAGGTAAACTAACAAACAAAGTAAAAAATAACAAGGTACACAAACAAACAAACAAAAGATAATACAAAACATTATACAAATAATATTGTCAGTCTTATTGTTAAAATAAACATATATAAATGTTTACAATGTCAAAGAACAAAAAAAAAATTAAAATAATATTCAAAAATATTTAGCCAGTTTATAGCAAAATATCAATGACCTCTAAATAAATTAATTTCGATGTCATTAGTAAATATAGCAATAGCAAACATTAGACCAGTGTTTTCAAGATCAAATTCGATTTTCAATTCAAATATAATTCATTTACGGCGTAGAAAGCCTTGTCTAGTAAATAAGAGTTCAATGCTTTGCGAAATGAAAAAAATGATGTTATGGATTTGATTTCAAATGGCAGGTGATTGTGCATTTTTTTCGAGTTGTATAATATTGAACTTTTAACTAACTCTGAGCGTGGGGTAGGTAGATAAAGATCTTGCTCCGCGTTCCTGAGTGGATAAGTGTGTGGTACAAAATTATTCGTAAAAAAATGCTTCTTCATTACATATTATTTACATAAATAACTACAAAAATACAACTTGGATTTACAGATATACAGTATTTTGTATAACCCTGTTAATTTTTGAATATATTTATGAAGTGTGCGCCATAATATTGTGCTCTATATTTTACAAAAAAGGTTACTTAAAACAATTATCTCTAGAATAGTTAAAATCTGTAGTACAAACTTCATATGGAGTTTATTCGTTCATATCACACTGGAGCGCCCTGTATATCATACCGCAATAAATTACCGTACATCTTAAACGTTTTTAGTGGCTTAGTCAAATATTCTTCATAGCCATCCTATATATTATTAACTACTTAATATATATAACTTTGCAAATTTATACTACTTATTACTTCCGCGTGATAACCAGATAAGATTTATTTCTGAAAAGAAAACTTGAGTTAGACGAAAAACCACTCCCGGAGCTTGGATTTTTCGCGCCACTCTCTGAAAATTAATTTTCCTCGAGAAGAATTTCCATATGAAAATTCCACAGTTTTCACAAAGTGACGCCTCACATAGCCTCTACGTTGATTTTAGCAGGAATTTCGCAGCGCATCCTGTGTCAGAATAATTGTTTTTTTTTTCGTCGGGTCGTCTGAAATTCTGGTTTCTCATGGAAAATCAGGATTCTCAGTATTTGGGCATGTCTAGAGAAAAATAAGTTATCGATGATGTTTATTAAAATCAAAGAAGCGACATTTATACATTACCAACCTTTTTAGATGCCCAAGTAATATCTTAATTTATTTTATATTATATTGGATTAAAAAATAGTTTTTTTTAATATGAAAATAAATAAAAGAAGGTAATATATAATAATGAAAATATAATTTTATTCACTTCTCTCCAGTGGAGGCTGCTGCTGTGGTGTATAATAAATATAAAAAAATATACAAAGAGACAGCGAGGGTACAAAAAAACCTATTATGCTTTCCCTTCTACCCATATTCCAGGCGCTTGGTAACCTAATTTTAAGTTTTTTCTACCCCATTTTATTTGCTACCTACTTATTTGAGTAGGTAGTGTCTTAGAAAAAGCTTTTTCATACATTTTCTTTACTAAGTTAATACATTTATATTTTAAATCAAAAGATTAAAGATGCGTCAATTTGACTAACTTTTTCCGTAGCAACTGTTAAAATTGTCTTATATCTATCAAAAATAGTATATAAATAATAGTACTTTAACCGCAAAGGTAGATTAAATGATACTTTAACAGCGAAGATAGGTTAAAAACTTTATTTCTTCTCGCACGTTTTTCAATTGCTTCCATTTTTGAAAATTTTTTTATTCTTTTTCATAAATTATTCGGGATTTTAATGGAAGTAGTTTGGATATGGCGTTTATCGCCTCAACCTGAATATCTGTTGGGAATTTACTTATTTCGTTTTGAGCCATTTCTGGCTCCAATTCAATCAGCAATCGACACGAAAGAGAATTAAAAAATATTGACTCAAAAATGACAACTAAAGAGACACAGCTTTATTTATTTGTGAAATTACATAGAAACCAACGCCAACCCAGCACAATATTTTTTCTACTTGTAATAAATTCCTTGAAATAATAATTTCGGAATATTTTTTAAAACGTCACTCGCTATGGAAAAAAGTATTGTTTTATACAGGTCTCCCGAAATTCTCCCGAGAATCTTTTCGGTCTACGATAAAATACCATTTTATCGTCTTGTATAAAAAATAACTATTACCTGATAAGAATAAGTCCTGCAATGCCTGCACGCTCTGGCACAGTATGGCCCATGCTTCTACCTCGTGCAGTCCGGAGGGTCTGGTGGCCAGCAAATCTGCCAGACTTGCACCCTTGTGCAAATAGTCCGTCGAACTGCTCGCACTGCTGGAGGAAACCGTTCTTGATCTGGACATTCTGCAACAAAAGATTAAAAAGTTAATATTAATATACAGTGTTATGTTATGTTTTTGAAAACAGGAAATCACATGAAAACTTTGAACAGTCCAAATATTGGCTCTCCCGTTGAATATACAGCGTTATTCCTTTATTACTGTTTTGTTTCAAATTAAAAATATCGGTAATCACAAAAGAATTTCCGATGCACGTGATCAACTTTGAGTGGCTGCCAGATTGTGACAAGTTTAAAATGATTTTTTTAGTTTTTAGGGTTCCGTACCGAAAGGGTAAAAACGGGACAAAGGTCTATCTTATGAACCGTTATAGCTGGACAGTTGAAATGTTTACAGATAATGTATCTATGTTGCCGCTATGCTATGAGAACAAATACTAAAAACAGAATTAAATAAATGTTTATAAATAAAAAAGTACTTTCACTAAACATTATTTTTTAAGTAAGAATTTTACATAGCATCTTTCAAGTCCTCGGTGGCCGCGTGGTTAAAGCGTTAGGACTTTACGCTGCTATGACGTTGGAGCCGTAGTAAGGCAGGTTCGAATCCTAGCCAAGGCGACTTTTTTTAATTGTTTTTTTTTTAATTTTTACATATTCATTTTTACTTTTTACATATTTATTATTGATTAATACAATTTTTAGTAATGTGTTTCTTCATTTTTTTTAAATTACTTATACGCGCATTCAAAATTTCAGCTAAATCGGAAAAAAAGTTTATAATAATATAGTGTATAATGTTGTATAGTTAATGAATGGTACGGAACCCTCCGTGCGCGAGTCCGACTCGCACTTGACCAATTTTTAAAAATGTATTTTGATAAAAGTTTCGGCGTCTTTAATGACGTGACGCCTACATTTCTCAATAGACGTTTTATAATAGAATTATTATTACTTTCATACACGTTCGAGCTGAAATTTAATTAAAATTTAATACTATTTTAATTTCTGAGGGGAATAACGTTCCATTTTGCATATTTCCAGTTTTGTGTGCAGCTTTAATTCAAACGCTGCGTTATTTTACAGACAATTGGACTTGATACGATGAGATTGCACTGAAATCCTGTTAGGAATAACACCATTTAAACAATATGAAATGTTCGTTTCCGAAATTATTAATAATAGATGCATGTAGCATTGTATTAATTTTGATGTGGTATCCCTTTACATTAAGGCTGTATTCCGTTGCAAAACCAGGCGAACCAGACCGGTAAAACTACGGTAAAGAGCGGTTCCTGAAAAGCATCGGTTTGATACGGAACGGTTTGGTAAAATACAGAAAATGTCAAATGTTGACGTTTTCTAAATTTCAATACATTTATTATAAAATTTATCTTTTATGCATTTTAATGTACCTATTCTCTGCTTTTACGTTTACTTCTTCTTTTCAATGGAGTTTAATATTGAAAAGTACTTTATTAATGAACTGTTAAACTCGTTAGACAGCTCATGTGAAGATTTCAGATTCATTTCTGCAGGTCCAATATTAAAATAGATCAATAATAAATAAACAAATATAATCAATATTTATCTTTTTATAGCTTACAAAACATTCACGATTACTTATTTTCTTGTTTCTCATGTTTTCTTTAAATGTTCCTGACTTTAAGAAACAATATGGCTGCATGATAAATTTAAATGGTTCTAAAATTCATTCTATTTAGTTAATGAAGTTTATTTACCTCTACTACCTACCTCCATTGCTTTTGGATATAAATATAAAATATTATTACAAATTTTAGAAATTAAATGAGAATTTCACTCGAACTTATAATATTTGCTTGATTTCTGTTTCTGTCACATAAATGACATTGATTGACAAACAAAACCAGAAAAGCCAGCCTTCTCGAGCTGCTCTGGTTAGTTTGGTGGCAACTATGATAGATATTTTTCAGGAACCGTGTTCCGTTATAAGAAAACTTTCAGGAAACCGATAGGAACGTAACATAAAAACATAACCAAGGTAAGCAACGAAATACACCTTACTCAACATGTTTAATTTATGTCAATGATGACAGGTATTGATCATTTCGATTCCAAATATCTCGAGAACCATTACTCGTAGCGCTTTTTACAAAGAGATCTTTTTTATGTAAAAAACGGTCGTAAATGTATATTTTTTACTTAGTAGTTTTATACAGGTACGGACGAAAAGTTATTACCCTTCAAAACAGTTAAAGCATATGTAGGTGGCGCCCCCTACAAATAGGAATCATATTGACATCAAAATCAAATTTATCATGTCAATAAACTCCCAGACACCAATTTTCATCCAAATATATTCCAATAATTCCAATCCATATACAGGGTGTTTCAAAACAAATGCGAAAAACTTTAGGGGGTGATTCCTTGTTCAAAATAAAGGGTAGTTTGCTTTATAAACGTTGGGTCAAAAGTCAACCATTAGGGAGATATCGCGGCACAAAGATGGCGGAAAAATAATGTTTTTATTTTTTATCTTGAAAACAAAAAAAGATAGACTAATGAAATTTTATGGAAGCATTACTGTTATGAAAACACACTTTCAGGTAATTTTTTTACTTTTTTAAGATGAGTGGAAGGGGTTGAAATAAACTACCCCTATCATTCTTGTTAACCAAATTTAAAGAAAAAACTTATCAAACACATGCAAATGCTTTAATTTGGATAGTTTAGTTTGTTTAGAAACTTTTTTATCTCTTGTGTTTTTTTGATAAAACTCACCGATTAGAAATTAAAAAATAAAATGTAAAGCATTACATGTCAGGACAAAAAACATTTTTAGATTAAGAATCTAGTGATAATATCGATAATAATAATCATCTAGATAATAACGTATTGCAGTAGAGTAATGTCAAATAAAATAATATTAGGAACATCCTAAAAAGTAACAGGGGCCGACTAGATTTTTTCCTAAAAAAATTACAGCAGCCCACTAGATTCTTTATCAGAAAATGTTTTTTGTCCTGACATGTAATGCTTTACATTTTATTTTTTAATTTCAAATCGGTGAGTTTTATCAAAAAAAATACAAGAGATAAAAAAGTTTTTAAACAAACTAAACTATCCAAATTAATTTTTTTGCATGTATTTGATAAGATTTTTCTTTAAATTTCGTTAACAAGAATGATAGGGGTAGTTTATTTCAACCCCTTCCACTCATTTTAAAAAAGTGAAAAAATGACCAGAAAGTGTGTTTTCATAACAGTAATGCTTCCATAAAATTTTATTAGTCTATCTCTTTTCGTTTTCAAGATAAAAAATAAAAATATTATTTTTCCGCCATCTTTGTACCGCGATATCTCCCTAATGGTTGACTTTTGACCCAACGTTTATGAAGCAAACTACCCTTTATTTTGAACAAGGAATCACCCCCTGAAGTTTTTCGCATTTGTTTTGAAACACCCTGTATATAATACAAATTCCGGCTGTATTTTTTTAATCCATACTTTATTCTCATTTAATTTCAAAGATTTTGAAAAAAAAATTGAATTACGTACGTATTCATCTGTTATAAATTTTCTCTAATGTGATATTTTTACAACCAGCATAAATGGGAATTCCATTTAATCAAGAGATTGCAGCTTTAGAAAATATTACATTTGCTAAACAATAGTAATTTGCATCTGGACATTCCACAATCACGGAATTCTTGTGTATTTTGGTTAAAATGTTGCTCTTTACAGTTTACATGGTTTGGTAGATTACACAATTTAACTGGGTTAAATAAATAATATTACTTTTTTCTATAGCAAATATTAAAATTGCCTTATATCTATCAAAAATAGTAGATTAAATGATACTCTAACAGCGAGGATAGGTTAAAAACTTTATTTCTTCTCGCACGTTTTTTAATTGTTTCCATTTTTTAAATTTTTTGTATTCCTTTTCATAAGTTATTCGGGATTTAAATGGACGTAGTTTGGATATGGCTTTTGTCGCCTCAGCCCGAATATCTGTTGGTAATTTATTTATTTCGTTTTGAGCCATTTCTGGCTCCAATTCAATCAGCAATCGACACGAAAGAGAATTAAAAATATTGACTCAAAACTGACAACTAAAGAGACAGCTTTATTTATTTGTCAAATTACATAGAAACCAACTCCAACCCAGCGCAATATTTTTTCTACTCGTAATAAATTCCTTGAAATAATAATTTTTGAATATTTTTTAAAACGTAACTCGCTATGGAAAAAAAATATTGTTTTATACACTTCTTTCGTCTTGTATAAAAAATAACTATTTATTTACAGGATTAAAATAAATTTTATTTGGAAAAAATAATATTTTTTTAATATAGTCTATAGGTAGAGCATCATCAACAGGTTGTTTTGTCATGTTCCATGTAATCAATCACACTGTGTGCCCTAGGGCAGAAATGAATCTAGCGCGTACCCACAGCACACATGTATCGTTTATCCCGATCCATCGACGCTAACAAATTCCAGGCCCATAAACCATATCCCTGCCGTCTGAATGGGATTAATTACTATCTCATTACGGCCCCCAGATATACGTCAAAACTGTCGAGCTGATTGGCAACGAAAGGGTATATTGTATTCAGGGAAAATATGGCGCATTACGGCATTATCTATTTTTAGAAATTAATCTAACGTTTATTTTTATAATTTAACTAGCATGTACCAGCGACTTCGTTCGCGTCGAATTAATCATTTGTAATGGTGATGATAAAGCAAAGCAAGAATTTCCATTAACATACAAACTGGATAAAATTTTCTCACATTTATGTCAGCATGAGAAAAAACAATATGGCGACATTATTATATACCTTCGTAATATTTGAGGGGTAGTTTCATCTCGTTGGAATTTGACTTTCGAAAAAACCGTTTGCCAAAAATGAGCTTTTTACGTCAATCAGTTTAAGCAGAATCGTGGTTAAGAAATTACCAAACTTTTTGGAACACCCTGTATGGTTTTTTAAAGAATTTCAAAATATGTAAAAAAACCAAATAAATTATGCTTGTCCAAGCGTTTTCCCGAAAGACTAACCGTTTTTTAAATAACAAATATTGTAATATTTGAGGGGCGTTTTCACCATCTTGGAATTTGAGATTCGAGAAACCCCTCCTTATCGAACCTCTACACCCCACAGTCTATCCGTTTGCTAAAAATCAGCTTTAAACGTCAAGTAGTTTAAGCAGAATCGTGATTACTCAATGGTCATATTTTATCAAAAACACCCTGTAGAAATTTATAAAAAAAACTTAAAATACGTAAAACAACAAAATAAAATATACGCGTTTAAGAGTTTTTCCGAAAAACGTTTTTTTCGAAAAAAAAAGGGTTTTAAATAAAAAATATTTTAATATTTGAGGGATAGTTTCACCCCCTTAGAATTCGAGTTTCGAAAAATCCCTTCTTATCGAACCTCTACACCCTAAAGTCAATCTGTTTTCCAAAAATCAGCTTTTTACATCAAGCGCTTTAAGCAGGATCGTGATTAATCAATGACCAGATTTTTCGAAACACCCTGTATACATTTTTAAAAATCTTAAAATATGTAAAAAAACAAAATAAAATATACGTGTTTAAGCGTTTTTTCGGAAACTTGACCGTTTTTTAAATAAAAAATATTGTTATATTTGAGGGGTGGTTTCATCCTCTTGGAACTGGAATTTCGAAAAATCCCTTCTTATCGAACCTCTACACCCTAGAATCAACCTGTTTGCCAAAATTGAGCTTCTTACGTTGAGTGGTTTGAGCAGGATCCTGATTAATCAGTATGTCAGTCACTTAAGGATTTTATATATTAGTACAGATTTGTATTTTAGTTGGTTTGTCTAGAGAATCTATGGCAATCAAGCTTCAAATAAAAAATCACTGATTATTCTTTTTTAATTATATTTAAGGAAAGTTGAAAAGATTTATTGACATGGTAGAAAATGCAATTACTTAGAGACCAATAAAAGATCAAGGCTGGGTGGCAGAATTAATTGTTCTGCTGGAAAATCTTATTTTTCTCTTGTTTCCAAAATTGATTTCCTAAAAGGCGAACACGAAGACAGTGGCGTGGTGTTATTAAATTACTACAAATTATGTGACCACCAGTAAGTCTATGTCAATTGAACTTAGTATGTCCAGTAAGAAAATAACAATGATTTAGACGTATATTACTTTGGCAACGTGATTGACAATACAAAAATGTCATTGGCATAAAAGTGAAACACTTTTACGTCTAAGTACGGAAATTTGACGGAAATATATTATTAAACTGACATAAAGTGGCAAATTCAACGAGCGTAACCATAGTTTCTCGATATAGAATTACTTACAAGGTATTACTTTTAAATATTTTTATATAATTTAGAACGTTTGAAATTGTTTAAAAATTATCTATTGGGGGTAAAATTGACTTTTTGTCAATTTCCTCCGCCTGTCAAACGTACAGCCTCGCCATAAAAAGTGTAATTTTTACTCCTAATAAAACAATATATTCTTTATATTATTTGTTTTATCCCGAGTCTCCGCCTATGGT